AAAACGACCCATCGCGAAACTTTTTTTCCACGAAAGTATTTCTCTTATCTAAATTGTCATTTAAAGAATATACTTTTTTTGTCTAACTACGAAACTAGTTAGTTCTCTTCGTAATTGAATCAAGCTCGTACATTTGAATCGTATTCTTTGTTAAAGATTCGTGCACGACTGTGTAACTGTTGTAACAGAGTTGTATTAGGTCGACAGGCGACTCGGCGGGTTTATACATCGAGAACGATACATGCACGCGTTCCTCGACGCGTTCTACTGAATATTTCAACGCGATGAAATGGCGAGAACAAAATCTAACAAAATAAACGTGCCGTTTAAAACCAATTTTGATGGTTATCGCGTTACACGCGTTATACGGAACTTCAATTGCAGGAACTTAGAAGCATTGCGGTTCGCTGTACGCGATTGTACGCGATGATTTGTCACGTACGTCGAAACGCGTGGAATGCAGCAACATTGTCAACGTTACGTGGAACATTCAATCCGGAATGGAAATTTTCCTCCCTGATGCAAAACATATCGATGATTCTTTTTTTTTTTTTTCTGATAAATTTATTTACGTATCGATAGATAGATACGTAGCTCCTTTTTTCTCGTGCAAGAAATCCTTTATATGATTTATATCATTTTATACGCAACAATATTACGATTTTAATCGATAATACAATGAATTTTTTTTTCTTCACCTAAAATATTATATTTTACGATATTCATCGATGATGAAATTTATTTTTTTCAATAAACTTAATAAATCAATCAAGTAATTTTTTTTTGGTTTTTTCTTCTTTTTAACAAACCGGAAATAATATTTGAATAATTTATGAAAAATTCAAAGATATTTTTTGTTGAACGACGAAATGACGTCGATCGAGATGATATCTTTTTTCTACGGAAATAATGAGTTAATTTCATCTCGATCTACGATGAGATGTTAATCGAAGCTCGAACATATTTTTCACGATAAACTTCATCGCTCTCTCTGCTTCTCTCTCTCTCTCTCTCTCTCTATCTATCTATCTATCTATTTATCTATCTCTCTATGGAAAACCGGAAACGACGAATTAATTTCATAAACACGTATGTATATACATATATACATACACACTCCCATAATTTCGATCGATGCACGAACACCTTTTTGGAAAGGCGAAGGATACGATCTGAACGCAATTTAAATGCCCCGTTGATGAGTTAAACACGCACGTGCGAGAACGTGCAGCGCGAACCACTCCTTTTATGACTTTGTTCATATTTCTTCGATTCATTATTCTGGACACATGTCACTCAAGGACACGGCGTCTTTGCGCGAAGATCATCAAACGCATTTGCAATGTGTTACCACATCGCATCTTTTTTCTTTCTTTCTTTTTTTTTTTTTTTTTTTTTTTTTTTTTTTTTTTTTTTTTCGGAATTGCGACACATTACATAAGTAAATGTACGGTAGCTCTCGAAACGGTACCACGCCTCTCCCCTAACGTTTAAAGATTTTACGTCGTCAAACGTACAATGTTTTACAAACATTGGACGCCGGTGTCTATGTCAAACCTCATACATAACGATCGATACGTCAACCGAGGAAAGAAAATCACCATTTACCATTTTTCAATCGATGTGCTTAAGATTTTTTGTAACTTGTAACTTGGACAAATAATAAATAAATATAATAAACGAATAATACGGAGAATAACAAATTTTTTAAAAGGATTATTATTTAATAGAAAAAAAAAATAATTGTATCTCGTGATACAAACGCAAGTCTTCTAATTTGACTTTGTATTAATAATGATTGTTTAGTATTTTTATACACTTTTTCCTCCGAAATTTTGTATTTTTGATATAAATATAATGTTAAAATGTTCAATCTGATTAATTTTTTTTTTTCATTTCACGATATTAATTATTCGTTTGTTATATCGTGGAATTTGATGTTATCGTAAACACATAGTCGTCCAATTTGGTTTCTGAATATAAAAATAAGTTTGAAATAAGTTTCTCGATTTTCCAACAACGAGGAATATTTTCGAGATATAATGAATATCTTTGTCGCGTATCTCAAACGTACGTCGAATTATTCAGTAAGCGATGCAATCGTTCGAGAATATCGGAAAATCACATTTCTGCATCGCGATTTGCGTCATCGACTTCGCCTCGTCCCTTCTATCGAAAGAATGATAAACGCAAGCGGAATAACGATAGAGCCCTTCGAGAAGAGAACGATGGTTAAATGGAAAATATTTAGTTTCTCTCGAATCATTCTTATTCTTATTTATAAATTATTAACGTCAAAAATACGAATAATATAGAAAGATGAATATTTCAATCGAAGTATTTTTTTAAACTTATTAAAAAAAAAGGAAAAAAAAAAAAAGAAAAAATATTGCGTAAATATTCTCGTTAATTTCGTTTCACACGATAAAAATGAAATTAAAAAAATTCGAAAAGTTTTAAGTTAATATAAACAGATTATTACGTAACTACTTACGATGTACTAGTTGTCATTCAAAAGTTCCTGAATGAGAAATCTTATCGATTCATATGCCAGTTGAATGAAAAAAGAAACGAAAGCAAAACGAGACAAAATTAGTTTCAATATCTCTGTCACAGATATAGCATATTAATCTTTCTCATCGATGAGTCGAGCATAGCGCCAGACAAGTCACCTACCTATGCGCCATGCGTGGAAATCATGGTTTCATTCATGCCAGACCGACACTGCGTGTGTGTGCGCTCGTAAACGTGTATATCTGTGTCACGATGCGCGTGAGCGTGCCGATATCTCGCAAGTCGCCGTGCAAACTGCCTCTACAAGTTGGCCTGAAAGTCTAGCACACCTTTTCGCTATACTTGTGCCAAGTTCAAACAACGAACTTACGAAGATGACAGACTACTATTTCTTTAATTTTCCGTCATCAATCCCGTTATCTCGAATCGATCGATACACTTCCGTCTTTCAATAGGGAAATATCAAATCGATTCGAAAAAATCATAATTAAAACGTTTCACTCGCGATTATACGTTTATTCGAAGTAAGATTACACTATTCATCTATTCGATAGATACCTAATCTACGATACCTAATCTACGATATCAAAATTACGTGTCAGATCTTATATCCCAGTGTTCTGACTAAGCCGTTCTCGATCGAACCTTTTTTTCCAAATATTAATCGTAATCTCGATACACAACTCCAGCTACGCGTCAATAATTTAATCCTCGCGTTCCTGAATTTCTCAGAAAAGAATCATTCAACGAGGAGTCGAATAACCAACATGTGTTTGGAAACACGCAAGATTCTTCGAGCACCCGATAAATCGGAATATTTATATGCGAAAATCTTACGTGAAACATTCACGCAAACACGCGGACGCATGCGCACCAACTCACCAGGTACGTCAAACGAGTGGCATTCATTCCTATTGCCATTCGAAGCGAATGACGCGGCTGTGTTAGTGTGAATGCGCGGCTCTGCGCATGCGCGTGTATTCCGATCGTATTCCGCACGAAGAGAGAGGAAACTAGCAATGAAACTAATTCAATTACAATCTCCAAGTTTTCAATCGATGCTAACTTTGATAAATCATGCATACGTAATGAAAATGCGTTTAACTTTATGAGAAGTTTAAAGAGAGAAAGAGAGAGAGAGAGAGATAGAAGAGAAAGAGAAAAATTTAACAAGGCATAAAGGTGTGTATAATCAAAAGAAGAGATAAATAATATCCAGTTAACGTAGGTCTGCGAATCAACTCCGGTAGAGATAACGCAAGATAAAGACCGATGTTTACTCCGAGTCAGATTTTTATTTTAACGTTCTACAAAAGTCATTTGACACGTCCACCTTCTCTTTCATCATTTCTTATCACATTATCCAATTCATTCGAGAAGAATATCGACCCATTAATGGATACGGGAACGATAAATAAATTGCAATACAAAATAACTGAAATTATCGTAAATTTCACCGAGAAATTCATCATTCACATCCGATGCATTCATAAATAGTTACAATAAGCGAATACTTTCTATAAAAGCATCTGCGACTTGCCTACGAGACCAGCATTCCCATCAACGGAAGGAAAGCAACAAGTAAGTAACGAAGCCGAATAATGCTCGAGGAAGAAATACGGCTTAATGAAGAATGTGTCGGGTGTTACGAACAGAATGGTGGCAGCGACTTTCTCGCAAACTTTCTACATCAGTAAATTTCATTCACTAGTCGGCTCGTGCCTTCTGGCTTGGCCTCTATGAAAGCGTAATGTGACTCAATCCACGGCGAGTCACGCTCGCTCGCTTCGATCGTCGATGAAATTACCACGAAGAAATCGTGTGACCTCGCTTGTTCTCGATCGTCGAGTTCTCGATCGAATAGAAACAAATTCATACATTAACTAGGAAAAGTGCTAAATGTTATATTCTTTAAAAAATTATGAAACGCGTAACCTAAGATACCTGATGCAGAAATCATAATAAAATATTCATACCTTCGTTTTAATGATAAAACATTAGAATATCCTTCTTTCACACTTGTTTTCCTATCTTTCATTAAATGCCTTTAAAATATTATTAAACAATAAATAAACTTTCAATATTCGCGGATTATTTATTATTAAATATTCTCCGTTTTTTTTAATAATAGAAGAATAATTTTTCTTAGAAAAAATTTCTATTATGGATCAAAAGTGATTCGTCAGTTTCGTCCGCTTATCTACTGATCATGGAAAAGATTATTAAACTCAATTCAAATGGCTATTTAAAATAAAATTTTCAAGATTCTAGCGTGCTAATATATATATTATAATTCCTATATATATATAATATTATAATATCCTAAACAGGAATTAAAAACGAGAAAGAATGCAAGAAACAATGAACAAATAAGAATGAGATCTATGATCTCTTCGAGATGGATTCACGTGAAAGTAGAACGGATAATCGAATGAGAATAAAAAAGTATAAAAAAGTTGAATAACGGTATAAAGTTACAGACTTACCGTTTCGACTAGGGGGCCGTGGAGGCGCAGGATACTGGGGCGGCGTCAAGGGTGGCGGCTGCGGCGACACTCGCGCAGACGAGGAGGTCGTTGAGCCTTGGGAGGCGGACAGCGCCGATACTAGCGTCGTTGTCAGTGGCGTCGTCGACGTGGTAGTCGTCGTAGCCGCCGTCGGTGTCAACGGGGACGTGGTGGCGATGGTGATGGTGCGCTGCCCGATGTACCTCGAGGCGGTGCTGCTCGGGCTGTTGAACGGCCAGGGCGGGCGCCGCGGTGGCAGCACCGGGGGCGGCTCGTAGTCCAAGGTATCCACACTTTCGGCACTTCCGTTTCACCTGTATCCTTCACAGAACCGCAAATCTTCCGCTTTAGCTTTATCCTTTGCTCCAATCTCCGTGGCACGTGTACGAGCACGAACTCATCGGAGAAGCGAGCCGACAAACTCGTTTTTTTTCTTTTCAGTCCCTTACACTGTTTTTCGCGTCGTCGAATCCGCGAGCACACAACACGCGGTTCGAAAAGGAAGGGGAACGAGAAAGAAAGATGGGAAGTAAAGTGCGCGCACCGTGAAATTTCGAAAAATTGTTAGATTCTTTCTCTCTGTGTATTATATGTATCTATTCACTTCTCTTCGCACTAGTCACGTCACAACACGTAAACACATGCTCCGGTACGGATGTATACGTGTGGTATAGTGTGGTAAAACGTATCAGAGGAACAAAAAACTTGCGAAAGCTATAGATTATCGGTATATTTCCATGGTTAGGAACGAAAGCGGCGAACGCGGCACAGTGACTCCGGCGTAGAGCTCTGTCAAGAAAAACATAAGCACGGGAAGAGGAGACGAGAACCGAACCGAGTCGAGTCGAGTCGTGGCGAGGCAAGACGAGACGAAGTGAGACGAGGCGAACTGAGGCGAGGCGACGCGAGGCGATGCGAGGTAAAGCTAGCCAAGACGAGGTGGGGCGAGGCGAGGCAAAAGCGAGACGAGACGAGAGATGAGGTGAGGCGGCGAGGTTACGTAGAGAGAAGCAGAGGAATACGAGAAGAGGAAGCAAGCCGAAGCAAGACAAAGTGAGGCAAAGGGCGGAGTGTCGATGGAGTACTAAGGTGCGTGATGAGGTGAAGGAGGTGAGGAGAGGTAGAGCGAGGTGTGGTGAGGTAAGAGGAAGGGGTGGCGAGACGAGTCGAGACGAGGCAAGACAGGACAAGACCGGTGAATACACTGCGGACTCTTCTCGCGCACTGGGAACACACACGGCTCTCTCTCGTGGCAACGATGCGCGTCCGTCTCTCTTTCTTTCTTTTTCCCTTTCTCTTTCCGCTACGGGACGCCTGCTTGAGCGAGAGCGAGAGCGAAAATCAGGGAGAGAGAAGGCACGAGGGAACGACGATTAGCGTGCGCGATCGAGAGAGAGAGAGCGCGAGAGAAAGAGAGTCGACGACTGAATCTCGCGTAGGCCGTCTGCCAGTAAACAGGCTCCTTCATTCACTGCTTATTTTATACGAGCGGCCCCCTATGCTCCACAGAAATAGCCACTTCACTCTGTCCTTGTCGTGCGCACATGCCACGGCCGGATATGCCTTCGCTGTGTAGATCTCCTTCCTCTCTCTCTCTCTCCCCCTCGTTCCTGCCTCTCCTTTCTCTCACACTCTCGCATTCGTGTCACGCGGCTCGCACCTCGAACAACAGTACTACTGCTCGTCGTGGAAAAGCAACGAGTAGGAGGTCCTCACCGACGTTTTCCTTCTCGCGCATCCTTCTTTCCTCTTCCTCGAAGCGTTTCTTCTTCCTCCGTATGTTTTCTCTTCTCTCTCGTGAACGTCCTCGTGCGTAAACTTCACCGAGCTGGATGCTTGCCCTTTATTCTACCCTCCGTTATTCTTCCGTCTTCTGCTGCCGGCATACGAGACACTGCCACACTCTCTGCCACTGCTAGCAGCACCCCGACGACGACGATGCCACAGGTGCGTCACGATTGATTGCGTCGCCCCGTACTTTGATGACTGACTGACTGTCAACAAGAATTTCACTGTTCTGTCGTGTTATAAAATTTTAAAGTCACTAACCAATTTATCGTATCGTGTTTGTGCCTGAAGAATCTAATTGTAGATATAGTAATTAACTTGATCGAACAATGTCGCAATCGATACAGTATTTTTCTTTTTCGCGCACATTTCACTCATTCTTCTGAATGATACACGTTATTTCCTGCGAGAAAATTAATTTCCATCAGTGATTCAAATAAAACAACTTTTACGTTGAATCACACATACACATCACGATATTAGTTATGAAGACCACTGCCACGATAAATCTGACGCATGTGTCCGTGGTTAAATAGCAGTAGTGTAAGGGGTTCGCTTGCGTTCACTGATTTTCTCGAATGGCAAGCCTCCACTCGATTTCCCCGCGATGGCTGGCAAACTGCGCGTATACACACATAAGCGACGCATACACAAGGAGTCTGGGTATTCGTGGCGCACGGTCCTCTCTTGCGTTAAGCAAAGAACGGGAGAGAAAGAGAGTCAGAACGAGTTGGATGGAAGAAAGAAAAAAAGAGACAAAATGACGAGACAGTCAAGAAGTGGGAGAAGCGTGAACGAAGACGAAGAAGGATTGACAGAACGAGAAAGAGAGAGAAATGAGACAGAAAAGAAGGAAGGGAGGAAGAAAGATGCATAAAGTGGGTGGGAGCAACGATCGTCGTGCAAGAGAGAGAGAAGAAAAAGTTCAGCTGGCCTCGGCGGCCATGCCGGTGTAGATCGTGCGAGCGCAGCCCAGGCACGTACTGTCCGGCTCGCAGGCCCACCACTCAACACCTTCTCTATTTTCTCGCCTTTTCCTTCTTGCTCTCTCTTCTTCTTTTATTCTCTCTTTCTTCGGCACTTTTTTCGCTTTTTGCTTCGACCACGTATTCCTTCAGGCTTCGCAATCACGTACACGACACAATCTTTACTCTTACTTGTCTTTTCTAACCTCTCTTCCTTCCAACTTTTTTCACGTTCGCTCGTATTGCCGTGCCGGTCGATAGTCGAATCGATCTTCGAACCGCCGAGTTTCCATCGATTCTTTTCGTTTCGCCACTTTAAATTACACTCAATTTTGATATAAAGTGTACACGTTTATGTTTTCAGTGAATATCGCACACAATCCAAATATGCAACCAATCATACAGAGATATGATTGTATACCGACAACTCTCGAACAGAAAGGTGAACGAACCTTTTTTCCTGTTTTTCACAGAAAATCTTTGCGAACACTCATCATTTGATCTGCTCGAGAAACAACGAAATATAATATAATAACGCGCACGCGTACACTACCGATCTCTTTTATTTTCCTCTTTTTACGTATAATATCGTCCGTTCTTTTTTCTCAATACCGTTCGTTTTCACAGCAGGAGTATAATCTTGTGTTGTTTGAAGCCGAGGCCGGTTGCGCTCGACGCTGGTGTGGCGTTCTAGACTCTCTGCTTGTTACAAACAGCGGAGCAGCGGCCTGTCTGTCTGTGGGTGGGGTGCGCGCGATGCGCATGCGCATTCGATCATACCGAAAGTTGCATATGCGCGCGTTCACTCATACGTGCGTGATCGTTTACACGTAAACGCGTATACATACGTCGCAACAACCTCACCGCCACGAAAGCACAGTGACGCCTGCGATCCCCCTCGTCGCTTCACCCTGTTTCGTCCGAGTATACCGTACCCCGCGAGCCAGCCGCGATACTTCATTCATGCTCGTATTGTGCGACCAGGGCTGCTTCTGTTCATCCAGGTTCCACGTACTTTTCGTCGACTTTCGTACACGTGTACCGCGTCTAATCTACGACATATGATTATATTCTACTCTTTTTTTTTTAATAATATTCTATCATGCTTTATTCTTTCTATTTTGTTGATACGTTTTTATGCCAATTATTAAAATAACTTTTGTTTCGCTATTGTCATTTTTTTCAAACAATTAATTAATAATTAATCTTACTAATGGAATATTATTTAAAAATTGAGAATTTTTAAATAATAAATATAATTGAATGTAATAATTATGTAAAAAAAAAATTTGCAATTAATTAATTAAAGAAAGAAATTCATGATCATATAAATTTTCGAAAACATGTTATTTCCGCAGAAACGACGAGTTAGAACATTCTCAGGGACAATCATTTATTAATCGAAGGATATCGAAGAGAATGATAATTCCGCTTGTTCGAATTTTCTCTTTGCTCCATGATTAAAAAATCTTCGTTCAGGTGATCGAACGTCGTAAAACCGATACCTCTCTCTGTACTACGGGGCTCTCCCACATGTCGGGGATACTCGGTTCTCTTCGTAAATGTCCGCCGACTACATCCTCTTTCATCTTCGTCGTTCTTGTTTTACAACCTGTATAACCATCCTCTTTCCTCTGTTTGTCTCACTCTCTTCGTTTACACGTAAGTCCGCACTGTATTTCTGTGTGTTGTGTCACGTTATTTATGCGGCCATGTGTGCGTGTTCCTCCTCCCACTCCCTGTTGTAAGGCAGACAGTGAGCATAAACCTCGTTGTCCTTTTCGTTTCCATATCGGTTGTCTTTGTTTCACTCATAGTTGGGACAGCAGGCAGCGCAGCAGTTCGGGTATTAATCGGACACGCATGTTTCAAATCACGAGCGGAATATTGTCAAGATAAATCGACCGAACTCCTGTAAATAAAATTACCATAAATACACCAGGTTGCATCACGTCGCGCTCTTTCCCCTCTCGTGCACGATTTTTGTCGCTTGTTCCTGTACGTTCCAAATCGACGCTTCTGTCCTCGAAATTTCATTACGATATTTGCCAAACGTTCCAGCGTTATCTGATCCATGCTAGACATTTATATATCAATGACTGAAGAAGAATATAGTAGAAGGACAAGATATCCTATTTAATATATCATTTTAGATATAGAATACAGAATAGAATAGAATACAGAAACGGGAACACACACAAGAATTGGTATAGAATTTTATGAAACGCATCGATAGTGACGACTCTTAATACTTGGCATTAAATACAGTGAACCGGTTTCCATGCAAAAATGCCACTGTTCTATAATCTCGTATGCGCGAAGCGGACGTATTGAATGTGTGATTGATTTGCAAATCGCATTTTTCGATATTTATGATAGGGAATAAAACGTAGCAGGACGAATATAGAGGATAAATTCTGAAAAAGTTGAGAAAACAGATGACATTGAAGGGAGCAATGAAACGTGATCTAGAAACGCGACTTGCCAGACTCGTCTAATAATGTGGTATGTACCGGCGTTGCTGCAAATCATGCTCTCTGCACATGCATACAAACAGCTAGCCGAGAAGACGGTTCAAGGTTTCCACGAAATTATTCGTTTATTTCGCTGTTTAACGTCTAATCTGATCCATTTTGGAACGGTCAGAATCGCGAAGCTATCATTACGAACATCTGGAAGTGAGAACAAGACCCGAATTTTTAATATCATCGAAACGTCAATGGAATATAAAAAGAATATTTTTGTATTAACATTTCGCCGAAACAAAACTTTGCTCTGTTCTCCGAAATTATTCCATCCTTCTGCAAATGATATCTCGAAAGAATTATAGATACCATAAAAATAGAATTAAAATTAAAATCTTTACGGTAAACATCAAGATAAACGATAAGACGAGCCGATCTTGACACCAATATATATATATATATCTATCTCTTGTGCAATATTCGACTTTTCAGATTTAACCAATAATTAAATAAAGAAATTACAATTAATAAAGCATAAAAGATCAAACCAATTAATCCAACAATTTTTTCGTATTTTTTCATTATCACTTTTTATCAATAAATTTATAATAACATATATATAATAAAAAAAACGAATTTCTAATAATAATATAAATATATATTCTCTGCATGACGGGCGTGGCGATGCGAATCGCGTGCACTACTTCCCTCGGATTCGAGGATATCCGGTGTGGAAACGCTTCGTCCTACCTCTCCCTTCTCGTTCCAACCGACGAACCCCCTCTCTTCCCTCTTACGTTCGATGATCACCTTTTCTAGCGTGGTAATAGTACGTCCTGACGTATCTCCAACCGAGCAACGGAGACACATTCGTCTGGTAATTTTTTTAGGAGATCATGTTGAAAAATATTTACTTCACTTTAGCAATTAAATTTAATCAAATATTGCGAAAATCAGAATACTTTTGAATCTACTATTTTACATTTAATTTTTGTCAGCATAAAATTTTAATGAAATGAATCATAAATGATCTAGGATTAGGATCGTCTATATTATTCTTTCAAATAAAAGATTAACAAAAATAGACTAGATACTTACCTAAATGAAATATATGAAATTTATCTGTCTAAAATTTTCGATATTAAAAAATAATCCATGATTTATTCGTCAAAGATTAAAGGAAGATCAACAGAAGTAATAAATCAATGTATTTTATTCTTTATCTTAAAATATCGTGTAAAACTCAACTTCTGATAAAATAAAAGCGCTACTTTTCTATATAAACAGGAACGAGAACAAATTAAGAATATAGTGCTATTTTTCGCACCATCGATTTCAATGATCGTAAAAAATTAATTATCTAATTAATCTTGACGTGAAGTTGAATATCATGCTCATCAAACGATGGCGAAATTTATCTTCATTCTCGCAATTTTATTCCTCCGCATTCTTATCTTTGCTTCATATTGTTGTCCGTCTCGTGACAGTTTGGTTGTTCCGTTCCCTTTACTAATCGTTCCGTTGCGAGCATACGAGCTCGAACAAGAAAACATTATCCAGAGATTTTTTCCTCCGTGAAAGCATAAAACCAGCATGTATGAATTATAACGAGTCACTGCTAAATAATTGAAAATGACAATGTGTTTGAAGATTAAATTAAAAATTAACCTTAGTGGATCCAATAAAAAAATTTTCATTGTAAAATATCTTGTTCGAATTGTTTTAGCTTTCTTTCATATACTATTTATATTAATCTATTTATATCAAATACAAACTTAAGTTTGAGAAAATCCAGCACAGGTTGTTTCGTTTCATTGCTTGCAAAATAAATTAACCTAAAATTTTCGCTATAATTATAATCTATATACCCTTCGTTACGATTATAACCTAAAATTCTCACTACGGTTATAAACCACCAATGTAAAGATTTAATATATACTCATTTGAAATTGAAAAAGTTATAGCCAATCTTTTTTACCTTGTATTCAAAATTATATGTAATCAAATTTATAATTCTAATATCATTTTTTTTCAACACCATAATTTCGGTTCTTTTTTCCTTTTATTCACTATCTTTTCCTGTATTCGACAAAGAATGTAAACAAATTTCGAGGTTTGGTCGAGTCAGAAGTAAGAAGTAAGAATCAATATCTCTGTCGATAACTGGAAAAGTCGAATCTTTTATAATCATAAAATATTTACCTTAATGTCTTGCAATATTATATATGTTTTATGATCTGCTTATGTGTATTTATTTTTGAATAAATTGGAAATTGTATTAAATTAAATTAAATCGAATTATATCAAATTTTCTTTTTGCATCTTTCAAGATATCAAATCGCGAACTGAGTTTAGTTACTTTCAAGTTTGTCGCACGAAGGATCGTGCGCTTCGTTCTCACGATATCGTTTACACGGCAAGCATCAGCGCGATATAGTCGTGACGTAAAAGTCTTGAACCTTCAAATGGGGCTATATTAACGAGTAGGCTGAGAAACACTGGTTTAGCCTATATTTAAACGGCGGCACGCCGCGTATCTTAAGCGCGTTCATTAATGCACTTAAGTATGTACCGCCCGTTTAACCTTACGCCTGTTTACAGTTCTCTCGCCTGGACGATTTGTAACCTACGACATACTAAGACACATTTCTGTCGTTCCTTCTCTCGTCTCGCTTGCTGGCTGACCTTGATCGAGTTGTTCCTATGAAAGAATGCCGCTATTGAAAGCATTGCGATATATCGTTGCAAATTTTATCGAACGGTCATGGTAAATGACTCGATGCTCTTGTCGAATTTAAAAATCTCGCAAATAAAAAAAAAAATGAAATCGATGCAATGATTCTTCTTTGATTCACGAATTCTGCAATCAAAGATAAAGCAAATTTTTGATAAAAGGGTAAAAATTAGATCGAGATCGAATTCTTAACCTAACTTTACTTCGAAAAGCTAATCGAAAAACTTTTTTTCTAAAGTTAAATTTGAAGAATTATTTAATTCTTTATATTTTATTAAATAATAAATAATCATATACAAAATTATTTCACTATATAATGTTTTTAATAGATTAACGCCAAAATTCTGTTATTAAATGAGAGATCAAAGAAATATAAAGAATAATAATAATATAAATCATTATAGATATGTAAAAGATTGCAGAATGATTGTAAAACCACATCAGTGGAAATCAATTAGATTCAAAATGATATATGATTTTACCAATATGTCAAGAAATATATCAATTCGAATTGAAAGTCTGCAATGTATTGTTGAATCAAAACGAAGTCACGTGAACGATGTGAAGAGAAATGAAACGGAAAGAACCCGAAGTCAAAGACACGAGCGAAGGGGGAAGCGAGACAAATGATAACGATACGACATTTTTCTGAGCACATGTAAAACTATCTACGCGATCTTTCGTGACCTAAGCTACGGATAAATACACACCATACATCAGTGAATAGTACTTACGTGCGCTAGCTAGACTGACTATATGGCAATCTACACTCACATTCAAAAATCTTTAATAATAATAATAATATTTTAATTTTTTTGATATATTTTTATTTACAATATATTAATACATGTTAAATATTTTTATGTTTAAAATAATAAAATATTAATAAAATTTTCGCAACATACCTGAACTATTCTTGCGATACAATCTTTTTAAATAATTTCAATTTGTTTTACTAAGATTTGTGAAAAGTTGATTATTTTTCTTTTATCATTATTTTTCATTATCTTTTTTTCTCTGGACGAATTGCTTTAAAAAATAAAAGAAAAATTAATTGAAATCTTTGTTTGTATGATGAATTGTTCTATATATATATTTGATAACAAATTTTACTTACTTATTTTTAATTTTTTAATTAATATTAAAAAGAAACTTAATATTTTTAACAGTCATAATTTTTTCAACCACTATTTTCTATTTTTTATTACGCAAAATATCAATATACATATTTTTATAACCAATTTTATTAATCTTGCTATTTTAGCTATTAATTTTTTCATTACCTTGCAATTATTATTTTTCCAATTAGTTTGTAAAAGTGTCCTTAAATGTTTTTTATGATTTTCTATATTCTTCTTGGATTGGTCTGATTACGATGATCACGATAAAGCAACATCCTATATCGTAAATAAACTTTTAATTATTTTAAGAATGTTTTAAATTTATCAACGAACGTCATTTTATGTAATAATAATTTGTATATCAATCGTTCTATTTATGAAGAGAAGTGTACATAACTCTGACATATTTTCAATGATTATAAAAATATCAATTTTCTTTTTCTAACCTTAAAAGAAATTGATTATTTCCGCAGAAAGGTCAATATTCGATCAAATTTAGTAAAAAATTAAATGTTGTATTTAAGATAATTTATTCGCGCAAAAATATAGGCTTTAAAAAACCGAGAGCGACCTTGAAATTACCAAACTAAAAGAGATAAATAATTCGATCGGCACGAGTCTCGAAGCTTTTCTATCAATTCCACATTTTTTTTATTCATGTCAAGAATTTTTTTTCTCTTTTTCAAATGAATATTTATAAAACATAAAAAAATAACAATTTGTCCATTGAAGAAACAACTAGTAAACAAACATCTCGCGATCACATGATATATGGTTAAATAGTACAGACCGAATTAATCAAGAATTATAAATATTACGTGAATGACGAATTTGAGGAAAACAAATTATATAATACTTTTCACAAACGTGTACGTAATACGCCATTATGATAACTACCGATAAATATATAGTAATGCTGTAGTATTTGCGGCACTCGTGCGACGTTCGTCATTTTGGTGGGCTCGATATCTCGAAAGCTCCTTCCTATCGATTAAAGAACGATATATAGGTGGCGCTCGTTCTTAATCCTTAAAATATCGATACCAATGAGTTTAATAGATTATGGATTTCCAAATGCGAAAATCAGACAATATGATGCAATTTTATTTTTTACATCACAAAACTATCAATTATTTTGAGTATTTTTAATTTTAGAAAGAAGAAATAAATAGTATGTCTTGTTTCGATTACTCGATTAAATTGTAAGAAGAGAGAATTAGAAAGAATCGAGAGACGATTAAATACGTACTTTCCACGAAAGTATGATACATCACTTGCGAGGTCATCATTCCCATCGCTAACGCACACGCAGTCACGTGTATTGCGTATAGACGCGCGAGGACAACCTGCAGATGCATGAATGACTCGAAATGACGTGTGTTCATTGAGCGCCGCTTGGCGTGCCGACTTGGTGCTCTCGGTTGCTCCCAGCAAGGACACGACATATTTTCTGACTTGCGTAGGAAAAGATTCGAACCGACCGATTTCGATTGCGACTGCATTTTTGTAATCACAATCGATCCTGGATCATTTATGATCTATCTTCACAATTAAAAAATTTGACAAAGTTCATCTACATCATACTACAAAATCTAATCATTATATATATATATATATAAATTGTGTGTAATATATATTTAAATATGCATATAATTAAGAAATTTTTAAACTTTAATTTTCTCAAAAATATAATTTCATATGAAAAAATTTTATTTTATATTTTCGATTCATTTTTAAAGCAAGAATTATTTCCTTGTGCTACGATTTTTCGGGAAATATGTATAATCTTAGTCATATCTGTGTATGATATATCTTTATATAATACTGATGAAATATTAAAAAGTTTTATATTAAAAATATTCTAGGACAACTGTTTAAATATTTTCATTAGTCACTATTATTACATATAAAATGAAGCAAACTAATAACTAATAAAAAATTTGTTCGAAAGCTCGTGCCTATCATTGAACAAGTGTAACATCCAATATCGATGATTTGGAATATTAGTGAGGGATAGGCAAGATAGGGCGGGCATGAGGGTGGGGGACGAGGAGATGAGAGGAAGTGAAGGAAATGAGCGTGCACACTTACGCTTACGCATACGCAGCGTGTAGCGTAATAGAGGCGGCTGCATCGGTAAACCGATTAAACGACTTACATAAGTTCCAATTGGCAGAATCTCGAAGCACACGTAGATTTGATGAAAAGAAGATTAGTGTAAGGTCAAGAAGAGAGAAGTGAAGAAACAGAACGTCGGTAAGAGAGAATTCTGCTTGGCGTCTCGAAAATCGATGATACGTACGGGCTGAAACGGAAAAAAAGGAATGTGAGTGCATTGCGCTCGGCGTTCGACGCGGATGCATTTCCTGTATGCATGGTGCACAAAATGACGATAGCCTGGTTTCGAGTTCCTTCGCTAATTATGTTTCAAATTTACCGATTTACTGGCGAAAAGGAAGTGGAACAGTTATACCTACCATTAAAAAATTAATGAGTCATGGTATCTCCTCGGAGAATTTTAAATATTCGATGGTCATACGTTGGTTGTCTTCCGGTATTTCATCATTTTTAATCTTCTTGAATTAAGAACGGAAATTATGTATATCATTCTAATTTTTTCTTTTTTTCACAATTTTGCGATCCTTTTATTTTGAAATGTATATCATTAGTCAAAAATTTAAAAGAAAGTAATATTAGAATCTTGTTTTTTATAAAATGTTCTTTCCTAAAAATCTATTATAAATGGAATTATTATCGATACATGTATTAATACACTTGTTAATAATAAAATTAATAATAGATAAATGAAATTGGAAAAGAAATTCTATATTTTTAACCAATAATATATATGCGCATTGTTGAAAATTATTCCATGCTCTTAAATGGATAACATTTGTTCCTTCTCGTTTCTTTAATAATCGATCAAGCGTTAAAATCAGTATAATTGGAAAATGCAAGAGAATCTCATTGAATATCCGTTACGAACTTCTCTGGAACCTCGTGACACTGTAGGCAAAAACAAAAACAGGAAGAAGGTTAAACTGATACACTCGACCGCAAATGTCCGATCGATTATTATTTTTTTTTCTTGTGAAACTTGTGGTCTTTATTTTTATCGCGATAATTCGCTCGATTATCTTATACAAAGTGAATACATATACAAAACACGTGAGGCTCTCGTATATCCTTTTTTTTTTCTCTTCTAATGTAACATCATTTTACCTTTTTGCTCCTAGTTCTTATTTTTTTCTTTCTCACATACATACGCTCTCTCTCTTTCTCTCGATCTCTCAGTCACTCTTTCATTCGCTGTTTTCCTTCTGTTCACGTATCTACACACCTACTCCCCTTTCTGTCTCTCTTTCTTCTTTTCCTCGCACGTGTGTTCTCGAACAGCGAAACCGGAAACACGTCGGAAACTGTATGCGAGACACGCTTCTGCTTCCACGAATCGATCGTGAGTACCGACACTCAGACGAGTTTGCCATTCGTGACAAAATTCGTCGTCATAACTATTATCGTATCATTTCTCCGCCTAACCTCTTAGAATGTATCTAATTGTAACTCATAATACAGTTGGAATTATAAGATTACACGCACATTCGTAATTTAATACTAACGTTGCAAAAAGTATTTGTTTAAACTTGTTTTTCAAATTATATGTATATTGCCACTATATTTATTGCACATTCTTCCAACTTTTTGTCTTATAATTAAATCTTCTCGACATAGAACTAATTATATATAGGGGAAAACTTGGTAACATACCTCTATTAACGAAACACGCATTGTTTTAGTTACGTAGATGGCGACACATTAATAAGTTCGAACATTTTTCAATCGTACACAAATATGACAAGTATATAATAAGTGTAATTATTATTATTTAATTAGTGAGAAAGTTTCATTGATTTTCGAGTTTGGTAAGATAAACAATTTCAATTTGTATATCATTAATAAATTCATTTTATGAGAATGATATTCTATATTTTATATTCTATATTCAAAATATTCTATTATCCGAGGTTAGAAATCAATGTAGATTAAACAAGTGTAGCTTTAGACATAAGACAAGACAATATGTGTTTTGTTCATATATTCTATAGATTAAAAGATATTGAAACATGAAAAAAAAGATATAATAAGCAATTAAGTAATTGTTTTCTCGTCTCGATGAATTTGAAAATAGAGTATATTATCCAATTTTCCCTTATTGTATAAAAGACCTTTCATTCGATTTATATAAAAAAACATTGATTAAAATTTTAAATTCTTTTCAGCAAATTTGAGAAAAAAAATGAAGAAGAAAAATAAGGAATATATTATCGATCAAATATTTGAAATCATTAATGTATTCCATAAAATCCAGTTCGATATTTAAAGAATAGTTAGAATAGGTTAGAAATTTTCTTATCTTGAAAAATTCTATGAATTGATATCTGTAAAATTAATTTCAATTTAATAATAAAATTAAAAGAAAATTCGACTTAATTTAAAAACAAAAAATGATTTCAAATTTTTGATCGATATTGTATATAATCCTTGTTTGATCGCGATTTCTTTTCAAATCAGCAAAGTGTTAGAAGCAACTTTGCTGGAAACTAGCCCGAAAAAGACACGGCTTGAACACAGTAATCGGGTGCAAGGAAACCAGAGCGTGTGACGTAAGATCGATCGCAAAAACGGGAAGAATCGTTGCGGTCGAATCATCGCGGGAAGAGGAGAAAGAGAGAAGACGGAAGTTCCCTTTTCGTTCGAACAGCCACCGCCTTGTTCGCCTCGCGCAACCGCATGCGAGGTAGTATCGGACGAAACTCGTTCACTCGTCGACGGCTAGTTCAAGAGATCTAAGTGACCGGAAACTAGAAAACGCTAATAAGGACTTCTCTTACTTTTTTTCGATTTTTCTTCATCTTCTTCTTCCTTAGCTCTTGTCCGAGACTTTGTTGGGCATGATCACGAATCATATTTCGTATGTTCTAGTATTTCGTTTTTCAAAACGTTATACGGGATGTCTCAGATTTTTCTGTACAAACATCGTCAATGGATTTTATAATTAAAAATGAGATTAAAATCTCATATAATAGACAATTCATTGATGCTTCATTTAAAAATTGTATCAAAACTGAAATGAAAGATTAAGTACAATGATATTATTTTTTTAGGTTAATTCAATGCAGAGCAAGATATAATATGTAAAATGTTAAAGTTATCTATTATTGTAATTGTTATATGTAAACTGTTTGTGTACTAGTTCATTATAGCAGCAAACAATTAAGTTAACTTCACTTTTGTTTCGTTCTGTAAAGTAATACAAAAGACAACATAACCTCTTCGGTATGTTTGAATAATCGAATCGTAATTTCTTAATTTCAATTATGCAGATACACATTTTTAAAATAAAATTACAAAATTAATTACAACATCAAATATAAAAAAAAAATTAGACAAAACGATTATTAAAATTGCAACGATATTAAATTCAATAATACATCGATACATATATATACTTATAAAACATCTTGAAATGAAAATATAGATATTTACAGTGTTGTACAACACATTTCATATTTTTGCTATAACTTATTAATAAAATATTTATAGATTACATGAAATATTAGTTATATTTTTAAATATTGCTTTTTCATTTTTTTTATTTTTTTTTATTTTTTTTTTATTTTTTTTTTTTTTTAGAATTCATTAATAGCGAAGTTCGTACGGAAAAATCTGGGATCTGTAGACGTAATATTATTGGTTCAAGGCCCCACTTTTCTCTCTGTTTTTTTTAAATATTTTTAGGATATTATTAATTTCCATACATTACAAATTCTTGGATCCTAGATAAAAACAATTGCGATTTAGCTTTATTCAGTTTTTTTTTTTTTTTTAGTTTTCTTTCTTTTTGTTCAGCTTTGTTTGACTCAATAGATAAATCTCGTCTTCTAATTTCAAAAATATTTTCCAACATATATATGCGATTTTTTTTTTTTTTTATAACTACATGCAAACTATATATGTATTTCTCGGTGTTGTGTGTGTTACACTATCGACTTTCTGCTATCGCGAAATCTAGTTTATTTCATTGTGACATCTCGATTTGTCATAATTGAGAGGTTACGTCCGGTTGGTTAAGATGCGGTTCACTAACGGCATTCAATTGTACGCGTTAAAAATAATTCAGTTAACTATGCACAATGATTTGCATTGATATTTGAACAGTATAATGTGATATAGATTATTATTCCATATATTTGTTTCTTATTACACTATTGAATTAATTAATTTTCTTTTTAATACATTTGAATATTTCTTATAGAAACATAAATATCATTTAATTAACGTATAAATTTTTTGCACAATAAGTGATAACAAATTGAAATAATGATCAAAGTTGAAAAAATATTTACCAAATAAATCATACGAATTTTATATTTGCGTTATAAACACTATAAGCTAATAATAATAAAATAACTCAAACCCAAATATTTTTTTTTTTTGTTAAATTTCGCTATTTCAATGTATCATAGATAAGTGATTATTATGATTATAATGATATGGTACAAATAAATAAAAGTATATAATGATAATATTATAATATATAGTAATTATAATTATAACTACTATAATAATGTATATTACATATCATATTAATAATATATATTTATAATAGTAAGTAATTGTAAATAATTATAATAATAATGATAACAACAATAATAATAATATAACAGTACAATGGAAATAAATAATAATTAAGTTTTTGTTTCCAATGAAATTCCAAATGTCAAAAATATCCATATTTTTACTAAAATAAAAAATCTGCATCCCATTTTGAATCTCTCTCTACCTCTGTTACTTATCACAATTATTGTGCACAAAAATTACATACATTAGAAATAAAAATTACGTTTCTACAAAGAATATTCAAATATATTAAAAACAATCGATTCAATAATATAAGAAACGAATATACACAGCAATAATGGCACAAATTGTTCGAATATTAATGCGAATCAACTGAACAACATTGTATTTGTTGTTCCGTGTTCGTTGCGTGCCAGCGTGAAATCGGTGATTAAGTACTACAAAGCTTGAATCGTTCATCACTGCTGCAAAGCTTTCAAGGAATAGAATCGTGGAATCGCGCGGTCTTGTTCTCCACTATTATCTATTAAAAAATAATTTTCGATGATTATATTATATACGTGATTATGTAAGATTTTTTTCCAACTGTTGATTTCGTATTCTATTGTAAATATGGTACAGTGTCGCTGTACATTATTAAAAATATCGACGAATATATATATATATATATATATATATATTCCGACAAGACGAAATAATTTTAAATATTAATCGGTCGAGATTCGAATCGAAATAATAAAAAAAAAAAAAAAAAAAAAGATGATTCCGCGTGATGTGTGGCTTTCAGCGAGTTTTTTTCCAGCTTTATTTATCGAAAAAAAGAGTGGGATTTATCACGTGCAGGGGGACCTGAGAAAAACGTTTCGAGGGATCACAGGATGAAGAGAGACGTGCGCCGATTAATTGCGTACATCAAAAGAGAAAGACAGAGAAATCAAAAAGTTCGACGTGTATATTACAATTCGTGTG